ATTCCAATTCATTTCTTTCTAGTTGCTATTTTTGTACGGCAACTTTTATACGATCGTTGGCATTTCAGTGAAATGAAGCAACAAAATGTACTAAAATTTAAAGATGAGATGAAGACGGAAGATGATTGTATTACGCCAGAATTGATAGAGACAGACATCAAGAAAGAGGAAGATGATTTACTCATCAAATCAGAAGTGTATTCGAATCCTACTAATTTTCAGATGAAGTATAAAAAGGAACCTCGTCCACACTATGATTCTACGGTTATCGCTGGAGACACAGATAAAGGCCATACTTCACCACAAAACCTACAAAACGATGCTGATTTAGAACTTAGCCAAAGTTTTGTTGCTGAAACAGAATTGATGAAAGTAACCCAACATCAATTAAAACCCTCTGATACTTTTTGCAGTCCCAGCAAAAAATCAACATTGCCTTCTAATTCTGATCAGCAGTCTCATACCGGCAAAAAACCGTATACATGTTCTGAATGTTCTTACAGTGGAAGCCACAAATCTCATTTGGTTAGCCATCAGTTGACTCATACCGGTGAAAAGTCATACAAATGCTTTGAGTGTTCCTACAGTGCAATCCGAAAATCATCTTTAGTTTTACATCAGAGGATTCATAACGGTGAGAAACCATATAAATGCTCGGAGTGTTCCTACAGTGCAAGCCGAAAATCATCCTTAGTTTCACATCAGAGGATTCATAACGGTGAAAAACCATATAAATGCTCGGAGTGTTCCTACAGTGCAAGCCGAAAATCATCCTTAGTTTCACATCAGAGGATTCATACCGGTGAAAAACCATATAAATGCTCGGAGTGTTCCTACAGTGCAATCCAAAATTCAACTTTAATTTTACATCAAAGGACTCACACCGGTGAAAAACCATATAAATGCTCGGAGTGTTCCTACAGTGCAATCCAAAATTCAACTTTAGTTTTACATCAGAGGACTCATACCGGCGAAAAACCGTATACATGTTCTGAATGTTCTTACAGTGGAAGCCAAAAATCTCATTTAGTTAGCCATCAGTTGACTCATACCGGTGAAAAGTCATACAAATGCTTTGAGTGTTCCTACAGTGCAAGCCGAAAATCATCCTTAGTTTTACATCAGAGGATTCATACCGGTGAAAAACCATATAAATGCTCGGAGTGTTCCTACAGTGCAATCCGAAAATCATCTCTAGTTTTCCATCAGAGGACTCATACCGGTGAAAAACCATATAAATGCTTTGAGTGTTCCTACAGTGCAATCCGAAAATCAGAGCTAGTTTACCATCAGAGGACTCATACCGGTGAAAAACCATACAAATGCTCTGAATGTTCCTACAGTACAATCCGAAAATCTAATTTAGCTCGCCATCGGAAACCTTACGTCTGCAAGAAAAATCCATATCAATCTTTTAAATATTCTTATAGTTATAGTGATAGTAATGAGTTAACGTTGGTTTCCAATCAGCGAATTGATATCGGAGAAAACTCACATACATTTCATGAAAGTAGCCGCTCTTTAAATTATTTACAGAACCATACTGATAGTGTTGGAAGTCCAATTTTTGTTAAGCCTTTACCTTTCGTGAAGCTTCTAACGTTTCCAAAGCCTTTGAACTCTGACCCCTTTATCTCCAGCTGTCACCAAGATTTAACCCAAATACTTCCTCTCACTGTCTCACCTACCTACTCTACAACTACAAGTTCAACGAATCCTTCTCCGGGAAATTGGTAGATCACCGACCGGCTATAAGCCGGTTATAAGCCGGCTATAAACCGGCTTATAGCCGGCTACAATTTTTATAGCCGGCTATAAGCCGGCTTATAGCCGGTTAGTAGCCGCTTACATTTGTTGTTGAGCGACGGCTATTAGCCGGTTATAAGCCGGCTATTAGCCGTTTAGGTATCGGCTATAAGAAATTCAGTGAAAACGGCTATTAGCCGGTTATAAGCCGGCTATTAGCCGTTTAGGTATATAAAGTGGTTATAAGCCGGCTATAAGCCGGCTATAAGCCGGTTATAAGATATTAACTCAACTACATCGTACTGAACGATAGTCAGGACTAGGAGCCGGCTATAAGAAATTCAGCGAAAACGGCTATTAGCCGGTTATAAGCCGGCTATTAGCCGTTTAGGTATCGAAAGTGGTTATAAGCCGGCTATAAGCCGGCTATAAGATATTAACTTAACTTCATCGTACTGAACTGAGTTAATATCTTATAACCGGCTTATAGCCGGCTTATAGCCGGCTTATAACCACTTTCGATACCTAAACGGCTAATAGCCGGCTTATAACCGGCTAATAGCCGTTTTCACTGAATTTCTTATAGCCGGCTCCTGACTATCGTTCAGTACGATGTAGTTGAGTTAATATCTTATAACCGGCTTATAACCACTTTTAATACCAAAACGGCTATAATAGCAGGCTTATAACCGGCTAATAGCCGTCGCTCAACAACAAATGTAAGCGGCTACTAACCGGCTATAAGCCGGCTTATAGCCGGCTATAAAAATTGTAGCCGGCTATAAGCCGGCTTATAGCCGGTTAGTAGCCGGCTTATAGCCGGTCGGTGATCTACCAACTGGCCCCTTCTCCTCTCATATCTCCAGTCAGTACAGTGGTTATGGGGTACAAATAACTGGATTATATTGCTCTTGAAATGTTTAATCTATGTAATATCTGATACCGGGACTGAACCAAGTTTTTAACTCCAATTAAAATACAAAATACTGAAGAATCAGTTATGAAGATTTTGACCTTTTGCTATTTATGAATTACTTTAATTAGAATTTTTTCGATTTTTCGACGATAGTATATTTTAATAATAATATTCGGTACCTATGTTTTACTGGGCCGCGCTCTGCCAATCATTCTGCCATATCTCCTATCAATATATTTAAGGTGGGGTCCCCAGGTAAGGTATCTCAGAAAAAATTATCACAGTTCTCAATTCTAACCTTGGGAATATAAAGGTCCCCGCGACTCTGATAGTAAAAGAGAATCCATTCAAACATAACTCTGTTCCTATTGAATATGTACATCTCCTTTTCTGGATTGTAATGTTTCTGTCGCCTCTGAAAAATAAAGCATGGTGTTTTGTCAAATATCCAAACCTTTATATTTTTTCTTTGATTTCAAATAAACCCGCTCCGTAGTAAAAACAGGGGCCCGCAACAGGAGCCTGCAACAAGGGCCCGCAACAGGGGCCCGCAACAGGGGCCTGCAACAATTGGGCCTGCAAAACAGGTCAACAATCACGTGATGTGACGTCACATCACGTGGTGTTGCAAAACAGCTCAACAATCAAAATAGCTCAGTTTAACTTGAAATTTCTGATTCAAAGTTAAACCCAACTATAAACTGATGATGTCAATGATAATAAATAATCAATAGTATTATTAATAATAATATTAATTAACCTTCTTGTCGCCTAGTAGCGTGCCCGGGAATCTTTCTAAAGTTGAAATGTAAGTTACAAATATTTCTCCTGAAAATAACAAGCTTGTAGACGGTATTAATTCTGCTTGGTAACTTTAAGTTGATTCTGATTGATTAATAGGGTATTTAGTGATTTCTAAATCAATTGCATACAATTACATGCTGAACACAATTGCATAATTTAAATTTGGGTACAACAATTTAGCGGTAAGAAATGTGTACTATCCACCTGCAACATTTATTTTCACTTTTGTTTGCTTTTGATTGTCCTCATTCCCACTGCTGTTATCTGGGCCAATACTTTCAGTGGAAGAGGAACAATTTCCGGAATGAGAGGCAGAGTCTGCCGATAAAACCTGTGGAAACTCTTTTTGTGAGGCTAAATTTAGTTGTACTTGCAAAGTAAACACAATTAAACATGATTCTAATCCGTATCTGTAAGTGTAACTTATTATAACTGTAACTTATTACTTAACACCCGTCGCCGCGCATGTCCCTTTTTCGCGGCCGGAGCTGTCCGTGATGAAAGGAACATGCAACGACAGTGTAGCATTAGCAACTAGTAACTTAGTAACTTAGTAACTATAGCAACTAAACTAACTAGCACTAGCAACTCACTACTTTAATCTTTATCAACAATCATTATATATGAGCAAATTGCTGATAGTAATTTAACGGGTGATACTGATACTCGTAATTAATATTTGTTCCAAATATTAGGAACAAGGACCGTCGACAAGTCCAACTCGGCGCGAGTCCTGGTAGGTTATAAACCTACAAATAGTTATTTGTCATAGTCGTTTAATAATTTAAATAAGGACGGCTTTTAGGTTTGACTGCTTACTGCTCATTGTGTCCTAAGTATAATTTTGATTCATTATTCTCGCTACTTTGAGTTTGAGTTTTATTTGACCATTTTTAATGTTTTGGCCCGGCGCGCGCTACTTCGAAAAAATTTAGACGAGTAACACCCGTCAACTTTGAGTATGCGTGATGATTCCCGCACACTGGTATAGCAAAACTGATGACATCAGATCTGTCAGTGTCAACTATTTCTTCAATCGATTCAAATTCATAATTATACCAAGAGTTCTGAAGTGCGGTATACAGAGCTGCTAGGGCTGGTCTGTGGGCTTGCGATAGTCTTGTGGTTCAGAGAAGAGGCTATCAATCCAGAATCGAAAAACATTGTCACAAGCAATTGCAAACAACCACACACATCAAACTTTAAGTGGCATGGTATGTGGTAGGATTTAACCGGGGAAGCCGTAGATCCAGACTAGATGATTCAATTTTCGTTTAGACGCTAAACATCTACAATAGTTAAAATATTTTTATACTATTATTTGCATATTGCAAAAAAAAAGAGCATGCGACTCTATCCTCATTTTTAGTTGTTTTTTATATTTTTCTTTGTGTTTATGTTTTCATATTTTTAGCTTATTATCCCATCTTAGGTGGGAAATATTTTAACATAGTTACTGTCAATAATTGTAAAGGACAAAGAAAGTGAAACTCTTTTTACTGCATATTGAGCTGATAAATTAGTATAAAACAAAGACATCATGATAATACTCTATTACCTAATGACAAGATCCAACGTATTGAATTTTTAAATTAATAGTAAATGCACCAGGAAAGACCCCAATTCGATACACGGACACGGGATAGCATGTTAATGTATAACAATTCTCGCTATAAATTTGACAATTAAATATCTGAAAAATGCTATTCTGTTAAGATTAAAATGTCGTGAAGGCATGAAAAAGAAATAATCAGTGTTTAGTTCGATACGATAGTCGGTGGTTAAAGTATTGGTTCCTAATAGAATAGTATTCAAAAGAGTAGGACTTAAATTCTCATTTTTAACGTTTTTAATCATTCCCACAAATCCAGTTTTTCAATACTGCTCCTGCAAATGTCATATTGTTCTTCTGTTATGACGTAACTTAAATTAATTCAAAATTGAAATCTGTTATAGTTAAACCTAAAAACCAGAGCCAATTAACATATATTTCATACTTACATAAGTTATAAGTATCATTTATCGAAGAAATTAATTGCGATGTAACGTTTTTCTGACAGTGTCATGGGCATTAGAACGATGCTCAAATGTGAACATCTGAATAGCGCTTTTAAATAATTAGAGGGCCATTAAATTTAAAATAAACAAATTATCGGCTAATTCCCGGTTGATTAACAAGTAGCTAGTGGTAATAACAGTGTATTGACATAATTTTTTAGCGAGTGGAAGACAGTAAGTTCTAAAAAAGCACGTTTTAAATTCCACATAATTATTGAAACATTTCTTTTACGCATATGTGATATCAATGATCGATCAATTGGATAATTGAAAAAGGATCGAAAGGGAGATTGCAAAGTGCCATCTATAATTTAATTAAGTTGGGGATTCTTTATAAGTGAACCAATACATAGTGAATTCCCAACTCGTAATTTCATAGATGACATTTCTGGCGGTAACTCTTTCGGTGCTTCAGTCGACCCCCCAATTATTAGACCGATGATATCATATTTGGGTTAGTTTCATCCGACTGCACCTCTAAAAATAAAACTGGAGTGCCACAATCGACCGGGGTCACCTTTGAAAATTAGCTACGTGTCCTATTTTACATGGATTATAACATTGATCGCCCAACCGTCTACGGAGATTACAAAAATTAGTTATTTTGAAGAAAATCCTTTTAACCTGACTTTAAGGGCGATCAGTGTTCCTCACATTTTAAACGAACAGCAGCAAAAACAATAAACGGTAAATCAACATCCAAAGACGCTGTTCTTAGATCACCTCCAAAGAATTTACATAATTCATTGAAGCCCACGTTAACCATTAGTTAAAAACAAAAGCTAGCAACCCGAAATCAAAATCTTCTGTGATGAAAGCCTGAAAATCGGCTCGAGTACCCTTATTAAAATGAAAGCAAATATTGAAAAGCGAAACCGGTTAAGATTTCATCATGTCGTCGAAAACTTTGGTATGTATACTAAAACTTTCGACCTTTCTACTATATTCTACGCCACTCAATCTACGTTCATCTAAATGCTTGTAGGGCTTATTACTGAAAGCTAAATCTGTCAAACTCCTAGAAATGCGTCTAATTCCCTTACTCCCAATGCTGATACTAGAAATAAAGGAACTACTGCCAACTTCCTCGCTTTTAGACCGCTTCATTCGTGGCGTTGAGGGCATAAACCCCCCGTTCACATAAACTCCAGCTTTGGAGAGGGAGTCTGAGAAAACCCCACTGGAGTTTGAACTGAGGGAGTCTGAGCTTTGAGAGGGGGAAATATTGTTACTGATTATATCGTTAGTTTGGCACGTGAAGGTTGTGATCTCGCTACTCCCTTTGCCTGAGTCACAGGGGTGATCTACATTTTCTGAGTTCAGAAGGGTGCTGTACGCTGCGTTCTCTTTATTAGTGTTACTGGATAGCTTAGCGCTGGGGTCCACCGGAGTGATTACTATGGAGGGTATTTTTAGAGGAGTTTCTGAAGGCTCGGCCACCTGATCTGGCTGAAGCCGAGGGGAGAAGTCTATGTTATGGGAAGTATTGTTTTCTGAAGACTGGACAGACGAAACTGAACTTTGATCGTCGTAATCCAGCTCGCCGTCATCATCGTCCTTGATGCACTCTAAGTTGTTGTTTGGATGTTGAAACTCGGCCATGCTCCGGTCGCTGACAGCCGAGTGAGTATCCAGGACACCACTTGCGGAGTCCGTCATGTGGTCGTATCCGCACGTGCAGTTACAAGTGCACCGATCCGGACCAATTTCCGGGTCGTCTGAATCTCCGTCCACCTGGTGGTTTGCCTCAATTTCAGGGTATTTATTATTAGTCTTATTAAAAAAGGAGGATTTGGATTCGAGTTTCCGGTAGAGCCCCTTTAGGTGTACTTTGAGGACCTGAGCGCTGACTTGGGAGAGAAAGTACCAGACCAGAACCGACACAAAGATCAGGATCAAGTTCAGGAACTCCCGGGTTATGAGGGTGGGCGAGTTATTCTCAACGTTTACCTGCGGAGGAATTACGCATTAGTATTTAATTTATAATTGGCTCGTTAGTAATTAGTCAATTGTGCCATTAGTAGATTCGGAGAATAGTTAAACGCTTAAATCCATCATTTCCGCAAACTATCGAACAGTCAAGCATTTGACTAAAATCTACAATTTGTAGCTGCTAGTACAAGACACAAGTACAAGTAATGAATTAGTGCCTTCGATGAGACGTAGAGCAAAAGGTGTGCAGTGTGCAGATATATGTGCAGATATATTTTTATTAATCACGGAAGATAATGACTTATAACTGTTTAGAATTGTTTATCATTATTAATTGTCACCTGTGCTGGAACAAAATCACCGAACCCTATAGTAGTCATGGTGATAAAGCTGAAGTAGATGCTTTGCTCGTACGTCCACGAGGACTCCTGCACTTTGAAGACGAAAGTCATGAAAATGAGCAGCGCAACCACACACGCCAACGCAGAAATAAACACCTGAGAAGTTTCGATCTGTGTTTCCTCTGTTAGTTAGTATGATTAGCGCATAACGGGTTACTTATAATGACCAGTTACCATTATTGGTTACTAATAACGGGTCACTAATAATGACTCATTATGCAGTTTTGGGATAAAGTTTAATAATTAAATTTAGTTATTTTATAAGATTAAATGGTATTGATAAATTCCCAAAGAGAACAAGATCAAATAAAATATTTGCTTGTCCTATGTGCGGGGACGGAGAGGAAACTGTCTCACACTTCCTTGGACAGTGTCCGGCTATTGCCCAAATTAGAGGTCAATATTTCCAGGACTACTACCTCTCTGTCAATGACATATTCGACAACCAACACATCACCACAATTGTCAATTTCACAAACCGCACCAAACGCTTAATTGTGCCGGAAGAGCTGGATCAGACCGGGGTGACTTAAAGTATTATCTCATATGCTGTCTCGTCTCGTTTTACTCTTCCAAACCCAGCTGGCATTTAAGCGTATCATTTTGACTCATATAACATCCTACACCACCCTCCATCAATCACTCTGATCTCACCGACAACCTTCCCCAAGGTTGCCACACCCCAGAGGTAGGCAGAGCATCTCAATGCTATCCTCTCGTGGGCTATCATGGCCCAGCCTCTCAAAAAAAAAAAAAAATAAAAATAAAATATGCACGATGTTCTACAGACAGCAAAGCACGCAATATTAATCGTGCAAATAGTGACAGTATTTGTATATTATAGGTAGAACTAATTCAGCTGTTTCACAATTACTTTATATCTATACAAAATAGGAGACCACAGTAGATAGATAGAAGATGACGTGGCAAAACTTTGGTTAAGATCAAAATATATTCTTTGTTGAGTGTCGACAATAAGTGAACGTCAAAGGTTTCAGCAGCTCAATTCTCACCTCGTGATGAAAAACATCAGGATACGGCTTCTTCTTAAATTTGCTTTTTATTATTTTCAGCGTTGTCAGCAAAATTTCTGCCACCACGTTTAACAATCCTGAAAATTATTTGTTGAAGAAGTGAGAAAAAACCAAACATGGGGCTATTGATGAAGAGTCCTCCAAGAAACGCAAAATTAATAATTATTTAAAATAATTAATTAATTAATTAATTAATTGAAACTAAACTTACCCAACATGAAGGGAATCCCAGCGATGGCGTAGAATATTGTAAATACTCGTCCTCCAAGTGTCGCTGGAGAGCTATGTCCGTAACCTGGAAGAGATTCCAATAAAAATCCTTCAATCTACTACATAATATGTATTCTGTATCAAACCTTCAATGATATCAGTACAGTTCGATCAAGAGACCCAACATGGTAGGTCGGTACATGTTTTTTGATCTGAGATTGATAATTTCTCTCGAAAACATCCTTTATCTAGCACTCGAAATGATAACATTCAAATTAAGATTGTGTAATATCGCAATGTTTAAAACGAAAAGGAGAGAAATAAAAAGAGAAAATGAGATAATTACCGATAGTGGTGAGGATAGTGCCAGTGAAGAAGAGGCTGGAAACATAGTCCCACTGGATGTTGTTACCCTCGTGGTTGTGATCCCCCATCTCGCACATCTCGTAGTGTTTGTGCAGGAACTTATCCATCTTCTCCTGTGGTATGGAGTTCTCCTGGGGAGAGATAGTGCTGTTTAATGTAATGCTGGGTGACTTTTCAGAATTGAGTAAATATTTATTAAGATCATGAGGAAAAGGGGACGACGTAGATGTAAATGATTTAATATGGACAGAGCTAAAGTCCCATCTTTTGACTGATTTAATTCAAAATCTTTCAATAATTTGACAGTTTACCTTCTGAAATTTGTCCCACATTTCAATCATTTCTCTAGAATGCTCCTTTTCTTCTTCCCGTTCTATCGCACAGAATATGGCAGCTCCTGGAGAATGGCAGTTTGAGACATTATGACTTCGAATGAAGATGTCATATCATATTGTCAGAGAGCAGTTTATAACTTATTCCTGCCCGAATTAGGCTTAATCGCTCAGGCGCATACCAAGGTAGAAATAAATCTTAAATATTTATGTATGTATTCTTCATTTTGATGTACTTAAGCTCTACAGAATTTTAAATCATTTATTAATGGTATTGGTGTCTGAACATAACGTCGTAACTGGTTAACATTTTGAGAGTGATATAACTTATAAAAATAAGACTATTTTACGACTTATCGGTTACCTATGCACATGTAGAATGCTAGGAATGTGGTCATGATGAGACATCTGAAGAAACACTCCGGTAAGTTCGATGTCATCTGAAAAGAAAATAATGTTAATCTAAGACTCTGATAAAACACAGGCAGATCACGAGTGGTTATTCTCGTTAATCCTAAAAACAGAACATAACATTAGATTTAATGAAGACAAAACATGACTTAGAATGACCAAAACAAGACAACAGCCAACAGAGGAAGACCTACAGTAAAAAACAAAAAATCGAAATTTTTTTTCACACCACGATGAACCATGAGCACTCAAAGAATCGAATCTTAGATTTTTCGAGAGCAAAAGGTACAAAACACTCATTTGTTTTCCACATTCCACAAGGCCAAACACGAAAACCTTTGGTTCAGCCTCAGATTGCTTATCCATCCAGGTCACGCGTTGTCGTGGTATTGGAGTTAAGATGTTAGAGTACGAGTCGCAATCTCTTGAGATGTCCGAGTAGTAGTCGGAAGTATCAAGTTTACTGATCTCCCAGCTGAGCCGCCGTGAGATGGGGTCTAGACATGGCTCAGTAGTTGGCTGGTTACCACCAAACACAGGATCTATTTCTAGGCAACTGTTCATTGACTTCCAGGAATTAATAGCAGAGTTATTTATAACAGTTTTTTGGTAAGTATGTGACGAGCTATGGCTAGTGGAGACCGCTGGGACACGTCTATCATCACGATTAGGAGTTAAACATGGATTGGGAGAAGTCGGCGTCTTTGGTCGACCACAAACTGACTTTGGACGATCACCAGAATATTGGTAGTTGGCGGAGAGAAAGTTGTGATTTACTTTTATGACCGGCAGACTCATCATCCTATGGAACCGTGGAATAGGGCGAATAGGCTGACTGACTGACTGACTGACTGTCCGTGGAATAGGCTGCTGAGGAGAATCGAATGGCATCGTAAGGTTTGAGGGGGTCCGTTGAATAGGCTTCTGAGGAGAATCGGCTGGCTTCGTGAGGTCGGAGGAGGTCCGTGGAATAGGCTGCCGAGGGGAATCGAGTGGCATCGTAAGGTTTGAGGGGATCCGTGGAAATGGAATAGGCTGCTGGGGAGAATCGAGTGGCAAACATGGATTAGAAGAAGGCGGCGTCTTTCGTCGACCACCGACTGAATTTGGCCGATCACCAAAATACTGGTAGTCGGCGGAGAGAAAGTTTGGGTTTATGACCGTCAGATTCAGTGGTCTAGGCCGGGTTGAGTCGAATGACATCGTGCAATTGGAGGGGGTCCGTGAAATGGGCTGCCGAGGAGAATCTACTGGTACCGTGCAATTGGAGGAGTTTTGTAGAATAAGTTGCTAAGGAGAATCTACTGGCACCGTGAGAATTCAGGCCATCTGGAGAGGATACTGTTCCTCTCTCCAGTGTAGTGATTTCTAATGCAACTAAACTGTCCTTATCAGCATATTTACAAATCGTAACACTGTTAACGATAAAAATAACAAGACCTGCGACGGCGTTAACCTGGTTTAATGGCTAATAACACATACCATGTGGTGGGATAATCAATCAATTTGCTAGCTGTTAAAGACAGTAACTCTCAAACTACCGCAGCTGAGACCTAAATAAGGAAATAAATGGCATTTTCCAGCATTATTTACATGTCGTTTAGTGTAATCTCTCAGTGATCTCGTCTATTCGGACAATTAAGCGGTGTTTCCGCTGGCAGAGGACTTTTATCTCATCGTGCATTCAATTAGCCGATAATTACCCAATTAGAAGAAATGATTAGCCGATTAGGTGAACTAAATTCCCTACTAAATGCCAGTAATGTATCACATATCACAGCACCAAACCCTTTTAACAGACATATTCACAGTCTGCAGTCTCAGCAGCGCAGAGATGCCACGAGAAGACTCAAGAGACAGCAGCTGCTGGCAATTCGTCACTGATCGTCAAAATTCTTGCTTGAGATCGGAATGTTTGCTTGACGTAGAATTTAATTATTGCTATTTGTGTTAATTAATTTGTAAACTAAGGATTCTAACGAGGGAAAAGTTAGCTTGAGGCATCTTACGAAGTATGGATATTCCCTTACGTGCACACTGATACTTGTAGACGGGTAACGTTGTATCTTTAGGAAATTATGGTCAACTCTGCGTGTTTTATCTTCTGTCACACAAGGCTGAAAATCAACTATACCATCAAAATTATCATCACAACCATCGTTTGAAAAAAGAGCTTCTTGGAATCACCTCGGTATCGTGAAGTGAACCTGGATTAGAATGACTCCTCATCTGAATGGCGATCGTACTTCGGCGGAAACTGGTAGACGAAAATTTGAACGTCATTTTCATCAAAGATAATGTGTAGAGTAGGGTACGAAGCAAAGTTGGTACAAGTGAGAGGAAAAATAATAATAGACTAATCATGAGACTGGTGATCGTGATGCGGTATCAAAGTATGTGATGTCGTGAATCTGGATACTCAACTTTAGCTTTGGTGTTACGTTAATTGCACCAAAGTGTAACTTAAGTAGTGTGTTAATGCTTTTCTTAAAAAGTTACAATAAAGTCTTCATGTTATGTATCCTGGGTTTGGACAGGATATTACCCGCTTAAAATATTTCCATATTTCCACAATATTTCCATATTATGTATGTTAATGGTAGTATGTTCGAGTAATTTTTGCCATAAATGTTGTCAAGATTCAGCATCTACTCGAAAAATTTTGTTTGGAGGAAGTAAAAGACGTATAATACAATACTGAAGTCTGAATAGATCAACTGCAACCACCTGAACAGCCAAAACTGTTATACTTTCGAAATTCCACTGGCAAGATTTTGTGTGTAAATTTTAAAATGTAATTCATAAAATCGATAATTAGACCTATACGCTTATAAGTAAAAGCTCAAACTGCTAACACCTTTGATTTCGCGAGATTAATCAACGCTAACAATAATTACAAACTTATATTACATTTTTAAATGAAATTATGAGGCCTTACATTGTCATCAGAATTCTGGTTCACAATTTTCTGATACATCGAAACGCGAGAATATATTCATTAAATGGCATTGACGAAGGCATAAAATCAATAGTATCACGGCTATGCGCTATCTTAGTATTTATCTATCAAAAAAGATTAGAAAAGGTCTCGATAACAAACCATGTTTGGTATGATCGAGAATATCTTTTGTGTGGTGCAGACAGAAGGTAATGAAATTAGCTTTCCGACAGTTTTAGTTATTTCTATAGATCTCATTTGAGGACCACAAGCATTAGCCAGTCACTACACATACAGATAAACCCCTTTGGCAACTAACATAAATCATATGATAACTGTAACCTTCTTTATTTTAAACAACTAACAAAGGATTCGCAGTTTAACCCATTAGGGACGACGAGTTTTAAAGTTTGCCGATTTTGATGCCGTTTAACACACTAGGTCACATTACAGCAAAAATGAGATATCCAAAAAAGCTAATCTGTATCTCGTTTACTTTAAAAGATACAGCTATGGTCGCATACGACCCACTCGTCCGGGTCACAAACGACCCATCACGGTTTTTCGGCTATTACTTCTGAAACAAAGACGTTAGGATAAAATAAAAACTGCTGCATAAGTTAAAAACATATGGTCAATACTGTGTGACTCTAACTTTTCAAAAATAGAGAATTTGGGTCATTAACGACCCACTCGGCTCACTTGCTTATTACTACATTTGTCCGTGTAACTTCTTGAATTCAGCCTAAAACATGACATCATAATTGCAAACTTGCCTCTCAGCAAGTGATTATCATCATAAACTGCGAAAAATCGGTTAAATGGGTCATTAGCGACCCACTAGGACCACAAAATTGATTAATTAAATATAATGTTGTCAAACTATTACAAATATTAGTATAAAAACATGTTATATCTTGGTCATTACTCCTGTACGTTGATTTAACTTTTAAAATCGATCAACTGGGTCAATAACGACCCACTCGGAAGTTGAACCACGTCATTAATTATCAGTATCATGCTGTTCCACCATCAAGAAAGACACTCGTAGGTCTTAATTCCACGCAAACCACGGGTGGATGACCACTAGCCCTCCTGAGATCTGGAGTCTCAAGGTGATCTGTGCAGATCACGTCACCCAATCACTGACAAATAATGGGCAGAATTGGATTGATAGGTAGGTGAGTTTATCAGCTGTTAGTACACGACCGTAATGTCGTGAGACAACAAACAACGTGCCTATCTTTTCCCGATTCCTAAAAAGTCCAAGAAGAACTATACAACTGCTGGATTCAGATTTCAGATGGCTGCATCTACTCATTTCGCAGCTTCCTTTCTTTACTTCTTAGGGGCCGTTCACATTGACATAATATTACGTAATCACTTATTGGACAATTTTTAGCCCCGCCCCCCCCCACACCCCACCACACAGCTATTATGTCAAAATTACACTAGCGTAATCATTAGGAAACCCCCCTCTCTCTCGGCCGATTACGTAATACTTGGTTTCGTTTTGAAAGCTGCCTCGTTGTTGCGGGGTTGTTACCCACAACGAAGTAGTTGTCTGAGACATTGCAGGTTGCAGTACCACCAGCCAGATGGGGGGGGGGGGGGGGGGGGGCTTTTTCCTTGTCCTTCTTCACAGATGTTCTAAGAGCTGTAGATTCAGCCATCTGAATGCAGCAGTTGTTTAGTTATTCTTGTACTTTCTAGGAATGTCAAACAGATTGGCATGTTGGATTAGAATATGCAATTTGACCGCTCTTCTTTCAGTATTTACCCAAGGTTACAGGATATCTCGTAAACTTCGTTCAGGGGATTTTTCTTGAGTGACATGATCTGATCACCGTGGGACCCTGGGTCTCAAGCGGTGAGTTGTAGCAGGTCGTTTACCAAGATTCGAAATTGACGAAAAAGGTAACAGAATCTAATAAGCAACAACAACAGCATGGCTATAACTTAGCAAGTTAGGAACGAGGGCCGATCTCCTTTTCTTTTACGACACAGCCACGGTCCTTTCGGTACAGATTTCCACACACCATAGTCAGGACGCAACTCCAGGCATATGCAGTCGTGTTATTCTCGCAGCTC